CCCCCTCTTGTAGGCCTCGAAGTGGATGGGACTGGAGGATCGCGCCGTGTCGCCGATGCAACAGCGATGCGTCGGGGATAGATCGCCGATGCATCGGCGATGCACCGACGACGTCGGCGATACATCGGCGCCATCGGCGTGGAGATAATCAGGCTCTACATCTAGTCGCATCAGCGATGCGGCGCGATCCTCCGACCCCATGCGCTGGGACCCCACCTGGCAAGCCTAGACTTTACCAACTCCTACTCATAGGGAAGCCAAAGCGGAGTTGACCGTGCGCAGGATCGGGCAAGGAGGAGAAGGAGAACGAGGGGGGAAGGAACGAAGATACAACCAGAGCAGGAGGAGGAGGAGGAGACGGAAACCAGAGAGGGGAGGACGAGGGTAGAGACAGAGGAATCGCTTGGGAGTGTCAGGAGCGGGAGGGATAATGGGACGGGGGGGGCACAGACGGACGAAGGAAAGACCAGGCGCCTGTGCGTTCTCAACCTGGTTCCGGAGGGGCTCACCCACGATGGGGGCCACCTAGACCCAGCCGCGCGGGGGCGGTGAGATCCGGCGCATCCTCATTGTTCTCAATCGCTGCAACCTGATCCACGCATGTTGGACAAAGATGCGTATTTACCGGTACACCCGCATACGATAATGTAGCACGTTTGGGTTGCAGGAAGCCCAACGAGCCCCCCAAGACGGTCCAAGAGGGCCCCGAATCGCCGAACAATCAGTCCAGAGCGCCATTGATGGCCTCCTGACAGCCCAAGCGGCTTCCAAGACGCCCAAAAAGGGCTCAAAGGGCACATCAAGAGGACCTCAACAGGCATGTGTTCTTTGAGGTGTTTGAGAGATTCTGGCGTTCTCGCCTGGTCGGCTTCCCGACGCCCCAGGGCGGCCCGAGTTGCCACCCAAATCGGCACAAGACGCCCCAAAGAGGTGTCCAAGCCGGTCCCAAAACGACCCAAGAGGCCCCAAGACGGCACGAGAGGCTCCCGAGACGGCCCAATGAGAACAATGGATTGCTGCACTGCGTTGCGTGACATCACATTTCACTACCTACGTCTGCACAGAAAAACCAATAAATGCAAACGATGGTGTTCACAATGATGATCTACCGCGTATTGCACTATGCTCTGCCCGCCCGTGGCTGGCGTGCGTCATGTACGCTTGTTTTACTTCATAGTGCCCCCTGCAAAACGAAAGTCGGCAAAACGAATAACAGCGAAGCCAACGGTCGTCGAGCTCGAGTTTCGAGTCCTTTGACTGTTGGACTGCCCGCGCGGACTACTGCATACATCTATGTGTATATATATGTACTAAAACCATCGCGCGCTTTGCGCGCGCTCAAGTTCTAGCTAGGCTTGATAGGCTAACTCATGTAATATCATGTTGGTCGCTTCTTGCGTCCAGGGACTCCCTTGGAGGCCCTGCGCAAGCCTCGGAATCGTATAGAAGGGGAAGTGCGGAAACGCAGAAATCATTAAGTTCGTTTAGGTATTGAACGATTTGGAGCCCTCAAAGGCTTCCTGGGTTCTTTTTGGGAGGTGAGGGGGGTCTGAATTGTGGTCTGTTGTGCAAAGAGTAGACTGGGGGCCAACCTTGGAACAAAAAATTAGGAATTGTGGGATTCCAATTTTTTTCCAGTTTCTCGGTGCTGTTCGGCGCTGTACTTTGTTTCTGTCTTGCGGGTTTTGTTAGTCGGGCCCATCAGGGGTGTGGGATCTTCCGGACCCCCTGGGGTTTCTGGAGGCCTCCGGGAGGCCTGGAGAGCCGTCGGAAGGGTGTCTCAGGCTGCGCGGGAGCGTGGAGCGCGTTTCTCTAGTTCGGCAATGACGGGCGTCTTGGGGGGGTGTATGACGTAACGCCCCCACCCCCCGCCGTGTGGCTCTGGCACCAGCCGCGCCCGCGCGCACAACGCGACGAGTGACGAGCGACGAGCGACGACGACGACGACGACGCGAGCATCATGTAGGTGGCGATCTGCCCCACTGCACCTGTGACACCACAACGCTCGCGTGCACCACAGCACGCGGGTACACCACAACGCCTGCGTGCACCGCAACAACCGTGTGCAACGCAGCGCCTGGGTACACCAGAGTGTGCTTGCGTACACTACAGCGCTGATATACATGTGCACTCCGCAGCAACCACGTGCAACACAACGCCTGTGTACACCACAATGCTTGCGTGCACTGCGGCGCCTGTGCACGCCACAACGCCTGTGTACACCACAGCATCCGCGTGCAACGCAGCGCTGGTGTACACCACAGTGCCTGCGTGCATAGGACAGGTAGAAGGAGCATGTACGTAAGGATCTGCTGCGGACAACTAAACGCCACGCCAGGAAAGTGTTGATAATCGAATGCGATGTGTTTTCCCCCCCCCCATCCTTCTCCACGTGCACCTCCTCCTCCTCCTCCTCCTCCTCCTCCTCCTCCTTACCCCCTGTCGTGCAGGTTGGCGCTACAGCGCACGTGCCCATCTCACCGTGCACCGCAGAATGGTCTGTTGAATCGGTCTACTTGGTTCTCGGACGGCCAATTTAGGTGAAGCATCCCAGACTCAAATGGAAGGAGTTAGGGTGATGCGGGCGGACTCGGGAGTACTCGTAGACTCCAGCGGTGCTCCTTTGTCCATAAGGATTTCTTTCAATTGTTTTCTGTGGAATCCACAAGCGCTCCATTTTGTCGTAAGGATTCCCTTTTTAACATTCTACATGCAACAGTGGTGCTGTGTTGCACACGGTTGCTGTGGTGCACAGGCGCCGTGGTGTACACAGGCACTGCAATGCACGCAAGCATTGTGGTGTACACTGGTGCTGTGTTGCACACGGCAGATATGGTGTACGCAGGCGCTGTGGTGTACGAGCTGCTGTGCCCGCAGGCTCGGTGGCACGCGGATGCTGTGTTGCACGCGGATGCTGTGGTGTACACAGGCGTTGTGGTGTACACAGGCGCCGCGGTGCACGCAAGCATTGTGGTGTACACAGGCGTTGTGATGCAGATCGCCACCTACATGCTGGTGCTATCCGTCCTCCGTCATTCCTAAGTATTCCCAGACGCCGCCGGCGCGAACCGTGACGTCATCGACCCCCTCCACCACCACCCCAAATGATTGCCGTCATCGGCCCAAAATATTAAACAGGCTCAAACCGCGTCCACGCGCACGACGACGATGAGTGACGAGCGACGAGCCGCGAGCGACGACGATGAGCGACGACGATGAGCGACGACGACGACGACGACGACGACGACGACGACGACGACGACTGCGGACCAGACTCATATGCGGACCCCTGCGCGGACCCCAATGCGCACGGCGGCAGTGTTGGGCCGTTCTCTACGTTCTGGGAGCTCCTTGGGGTCGTCTTGGGCTGTCCTTGGGCGTCTTGGGGGCCCCCCGGGAAGCCGGGAGGTGCGGTACCGGCCAGATGTCAGAGAAAGCGTGGGATCTCCGAGTAGGAAAGGGAATTCTGGGAATTCCTTTTTTTTCAAAATCCTCGATCTTCGAGGGTTGGAAGCGGGAAAACGTGAGAAGGCGAAAAACATTAGGAAAAACATTGGAACTCATCGATTTTACCCTCTTTGGGCTCTCTCGGGACGGCTCTCGCAGCTCTCTTGGGCTGTTCTTGGAGCCTCGTCGGGGTCTGGTGTTTGGGGCCTCTCGGAGGTCTCTGGAAGCCTCCTGCTCCCGCTCTTGGGCCCACTTGGGCCTGTTCTGGGGTGGTCTGGGGCTGTCCTGGGCGCCTCTTCGGCAGTCTTGGAGCCTTCTTGGCCCGTCTTGAGGCCGTCCTGAGGGTCTCTTGGGTGGTCTTGGGGCGGTCTTGGGCGGCTCTGCGGCGTTCTTGGACCGTTGGAAGCTCGGAAACGCGAGAAGCCAAAGACATTCAAAAAAAAACATGAAAATCTACTATTTGGGCCTCTTCGGGCCGTCCCGGGACGCCCCTCGGACCTTTCTTGGGGTCTCTTGGAGGCCACCTGGGAGCCTCGAGTCGTCGGAAGGCTGACTTGGGCTGCTTGGGAGCGTCTTGGGCCATCCTTTCGCAATCTGGGGGTGGTCTTGGGCCCTCCTGGAGCGCTGTGGAGGCTCCCCGGAAAGGCAGGGGGAGCCGTACTGGGAGTGTCCCCGAGATATCATGGGGAGGTGTGGGAAGCAGTGAGCTGAAGGTGACCCCCTTCCGTGTCTCTACGCATTCCGTGCGATGACTCTCGATCGCTCTTTACCCTACCTTCGCCTGTCCGCAAGTCCTCCCATGCCCTCTCCTTTTGTCCAATCCTGGTGAGGCGCGACGTGGGGGCGCCCTCGTTCCACGCGGCCACAGAAGGGCTGCTGACGCGACTGGCGCGCCAATCGGCGCAGAACGTAATACACACGCGGGCAAGCAGAAGCAGCTCGCAAACAACAGCAGGTGCTCGCACACAAGCACTCGCCAAGACTCGCCAACCCTGAGTGAACTGGGCCAGGTCGCAATCGAGGTCCACTTGATCTCTTTCCTCGCCCAGGGTCCCGTGGGGCGGTCCCAAAGGGGGGTTGTCCTTGAGATTCTCGGGTCAGAACACGGTCCTTGTCCTTTCTCCTCTTCCTCCTCCTCCTCCTCCTCCTCCTCCTCCTCCTCCTCCTCCTCCTGCTCCTCCACCTCCCCCTCCTCCCCCTCCTCCCCATCCACAATTACTCAATATGAAAATACTCTCCCTCCCTTCTGCAATGACGGCCAAAGGAGAGGCCTGAAACAGTCGAAGGGCGCTCCAACACGGCCCAAGATGCCGAAAGACGGGCCAAGATATTGCCAAGACGCCCCAAGGCAACTCCTGGATCTCCCACGAGGAGACCCCCCAAAAGCAAATACCATGATCTTCCTTTATGTGAAAATAAATGTCCGCGTTCTCGCTGTTATAAAGGTTCCCAGGTCCGCAAGTCCGCATCAAGACAGCCCGACAAGTCCCCACGAGGGCCCTGAAACAGCCCGTCAGGGCCTCAAGGCGGCCCAAGAAGCCCGACAAGAGGGCACAGGCTTGCCAGCGGTAAACCCAAAGAGACATCAGACATATTTCTCAGGCCTCCCAAGAGACCTCCCCGAAGAGTCTCTACGACTCCGCGTCGGCGGACCCGGCCGTAAGGCCGCTCCAATACGCGCTTACAAGCACCCAGACAACAGCAGGTACAGATGTGCAAGCGCCCAGGCAACATCAGGTCATGTAGGAGTGACCGAGATACTCTAGAAACTGAAACGCCATGGCTGTAGTACACTGGGAACCAGGAGGAGAAAGAGGAGCACGAGACAAAAGGGGGAGGAAAAAGAGGAAGAGAGAGATTTGAGGAGGAAGAGAAGACCACAAGCTGCAGCGAACGCGGGCGTGAATTGTGATTTCCGCCACCGTGCCTTCAGCACGAAGTGGAGTGCCACAAAGCTCATCAAGTATCCGAGTTCACTGGGGGTCAACTGAAGGGTCCTAACGTTAGGTCGGGGATGTCCTCCTACAGGGGAATTTTGGACGAAAAATCAAAACTATGGACAATATCCAAAAACTGTTTAATAAATAGTCGACGAATCGTCCCAAAACTATGTTTTACGATTTTTTCGTACTCCTCCGGTAGAGGGTAGAGGGACAGGCCCGACAGAATCCGAACGTCCCCGATCCACAGATTCCTGGGCGTGTGTCGCGCAAGGTCTCTGGAAGCTGAGCCGGCCAAAAACTACTCCCGGAACGCCAGGCAAAGTCCCAATACGTGCCCGGGCGGTCCAAGACGTCTTCAACGTGGGCCGATCTGGCCTCGAGGCGGCCCATGAGGCCCCAAAACGCTTCAAGAGAGCCCGAAGAGAACCCCGAAAATGGCGCCTAGAAAACAGCAATCATACAATGTCTCGTGGCCTAAAAGTATGTATACCCTGTCGATGTTTCGAACTTCCGACCGCCCAAGATCATCCAACAGGCCCCCAAGATCGCCCAAAAACGGCCCAGGAGGCCCCCAAGATGGCCCCAATACAGCCTAAGAGTGTTCCAAGACGCCCCAAGAGCTGCCCCAGGGGGGCCCCAGAGGCCCAAAAGAGGGGCCCGATAGGCGGCATCCGAACTGAAATTTCAAGTCCTTCCGTCAAAGATCTCTTCCGAGAACGCCAGCAGGCCCTCTGGAGGAGCCCCCCAGACGACGGCCCAAAGAGGCCCCAACAGGCCAGCGAGAGGCACCAAGAAACCCTGGCGCGGTGGCGGGTTGGGCCGCAAGCCACTGGGATCCTCCGTCCCCTGTCCTCCTCCTCCTCCTCCTCCTCCTCCTCCTCCTCCTCCTCCTCCTCCTCCTTCTCCTCCTCCTCGTCCTTCTCCTGCTCCTCCTCCTCCTCCTTTCCCTCCTGCTCCTCCACCTCCCCCCTTGCGTCCCTACTCCTCATCACCCGCCTCCTCCCCCACGTGTTCCCCGAAGCGTTTCAACCACGGCTGGGGGAACGCATGGCCCAATAGTTTGGGGCCATGCTTTGGCCAAACCTTTGGCCACATAGGCGTCTGAGATCCGCCGCCACCTGCAAGAGGGGTTACTGAGTCTCATACGTTTGATGTGTTTGCTCCTGCGCCCCCCCCCCACCACCCAAAAAAAAACCCACATGAGGTTCCACCTTAATTCGCGTGTCAGCCGGATTGCACAATGGCAGCCATAATATCCAAATTCATCGTGTCACAAATATGACCTAGATTGCATCCAAGACTTCCCCCATGCGCCTTCAATACGCCAACGAGGCCCACAGGAACAACGGGATATGGCCTCAGTATACCTCCGACATTGCCTAGGATGACCCCATAATGGCACAAGAGTGTCTCCAAACGGAGTTTGAAAGGGGTCGGGAGGCCCAACCAGCAGCTTCGCCTTAGGCGAAGCCCAGCTCCAGTTGTTGTACCGTAGTAAAGATCGCCCCAGTAGTAGGAGATCGTCGCGAGAGCGACGAGCCATCTCAAGCAAAGGATGCTCTGGTCTCGATGGAAAATGGTACACGTCGCGCTGAGGTGTAATCAGATCTGGGTGACCGGCCGCTTGAGCACAAACGGCCGCGGACACACGCTCATTACCTCTCGCCTGTATCGCAGCTCGCTTTAGAGTCGGGGGGGCGTGAGACGAACCGTGAGCCCGCCGCTTCTATGCAGCAGATACAGCAGCTACTATGTACAAAAGGGCAGCAAACGGGCGGGGCCAGAAGGAAGGTGGACCCGCACGCAAGTTGCCTTGCCTGCAGATTATTATGCATACGTGTACTCCTTAGGCGGCCGCAGACTAGGATGTCTGGCCAGCCCGATAAGGAGCATGACGCTTTACATCCTGCTTGAAGGAGTGCGTACCTCCCATGACCTGTAGGAGCATATAGATGTCGATGCTCCCCTTTGTGTGACCGTCCGCGGTCATGTCGCGGGTGTCACACCACTGAATACTATGCACGATTTCTCGCTCCATCATCTGCCATATCCAACTGATGTGTCGTAAGAGGGTACAGCCAGTCGGCTTCTTCAAATCGTTGCTTGACAAGAACTTAGAAATATACTCTGCATCGATGGTCAAAAGTGACCTTCATGCTCAGGCCACCCAGCTCGAGTATGTCTTCCAACTGAGTGGGAGTTAGCGGCCCTGCATGGAGCTCGCGCAGAGTCACGATCGTGGGATAGCAGTCCTCCAAGTGGCAAGCTGCTGCTAGTGTCTCTGCTGAATAGCTAGCGCGGACCTGCAAGCGGTGAGACTTGCAGTACGCACCGATCAAGTGAACGACAGGCTTGCGGGATGGCGTGTTTCCACGCCGCAGCAGGTTCGCCCCGCGAATACCATAGCCTTGGACTTCGCCATCGGCATCTCCACTCAGACGTCGGTAGCCTGAGTCGCTGTGCAGGTCAACTTCGTCCGTGAGAGTCATCGCTTGGTAGACGATCTTCTTAGGGCCAGCCTGCAGTTTCCTGGTAATCGCGCTCAGTCGCCGCACTTGTATGCAGGTCGGTTCCTGGACACGCTGTGGAGAGACTACATATACCATCAACCACACCTGGGTGATTAATGCATCAGCAAATCCACCTCTGAATCTGACGCACATGTCTGAATTTACCTTGGATGCCTCGGCGCCAGCGTCGGCGCCGGTAAGTTCAGGAAGTTGTATAGGACGGAGCTGGTTGGTGTATTCGTCTTGGTCGAACGTAAGATTGCCGCCCTCATCATCGGTATACCTCACAACACAATGCGCGCACGTACGTGGCGTCCTCGGTACAGGTTGATGTCATCAACATGTTTGGCTGTCAACAGGTCACTGCTCGTCTCAAACTCCTCGTCGTAGGACGTGGGTCTGAGACCGCAGCCTCCTGTGGTCCTGCTGGGCTATAGTGAAAAAGCTCGAGGTGCGTCCTTGGTGCCAGTGCCTGGCTTGAGGCAATGCGAGCAGTGCTTCAACTCGTCGCAGTGCTCGGACGCTGGGAAAGGTCAAAGCGCCGTGGCCGATCCAGGCGGCAGAGTAAAGCACACCACACGTTCTTTCTCACCAGTTGCCTCAGCAAGTTCTTGGTAGGTCAACCCTTCCAGGGAGGCCATGCTGATGTCGATGGCAGCAATGATCCATTGTTTCTTGCACGCCGCCGTGCTTGCGAGTAGCCACCAGCTCGGCCGCCGCGCTGTCCCCGAGAAGGTTTCCACGTCGAAAGCTTCAGGGCCCATGAAGCCTCGAAGCACCAGGCGTAATCTGATGGCACGTCACACATCGCCCTTTCCGTTCTTCACGAACTGCCATGCGTACACGTACCTCGAAGTCATGATGTTTTACGCTTTAGATAGATCCTCCAGTTTGAAGCGCCCGTAGTCAAACCATGCCTTGAGCTCAGTGTATAGGGCATTCGATACTTTCCCGGGACTGGCCTGGATGTCAGCTTTCGCGATGAGGTCGTCTTCCTTGACGACCGCAGCTCGCTTTGCAGCGACGGTAACATATACTCGCATGGTGGTAGCACGGTCGACACGTAATATCCTGTGCTGTTGTTCAGATAGGGCTGCATTTGACAATTCTGCCGTAAAGCAAAGTTCTACATATTGCCCGTTTTCGTCTGAGTCCAATCCGCAACTGCCATATTCGACCGTGGGGCACAGTGGGACGTGATACGTCTCCTCGATGTCGGAGTCGCGTGGGTGCCCCCACTTTAGGCAGGTGTCTCCGTTGTTCTTCTGTTGTATGGAATCACATGCGTGGGTACTGTGAAAAGGTACTCTAGTGGAGTTGCCTCCAGTAGCTTCCTTTCACAATGTGGTTCTGTATACCACACTTCCAGAATATGTGCCTCGAGGTCCGCCTCCGACTCCTCCTATACCGTGGGAAGTCGCCCACCCTCCTGTGGTGATTCGGCTTCTGGGGCTTCACCGGCGGTTCTGTCTTGTGTCGGTATACCCGCCAATTCCTCAATATGTGTCACGTCTTGGTCAAAGGCCGCGTGAGGCTTAGTGGACTTCAGGCACTGGATGATTCTGGGATGTGCTGATCGAGTTATATGATGAATGTTAAGAGTGGTGCCTCCTGCTTCATGGCAATGAAATCATGGATTCACACCGTTATCACGGGGCCAATGTGCAACTGTCAGCGCAAGCCACATGAGGTAGCTCGTGGATACTCTTGGCCAACCAAACAGAAACTACATTCTCGATACGGAAGAAGTTTCTCATGAAATACTGCAACGCCAGATGTACCTTAGGATATAATCGGCTTGCACTCATCATCTGAAGCGCCCCCTTTTTTCGCGGCTTCCCACTCGAATGACGACTCGACCCCTGCCAGGATGACTTCTTATACCCGGGAAAGGGCCTTTCCAGCCACCCCTGTCGATGCGGGGCGATGGTGCTCAACTAGATCTCCTTCATCGCAGTAGTGCTGACCGGTGATGGTTGTTGTGGTGCGAAATGCACGATTGGTCTTGGCTACTGCAGTGGCCTGTGTGATAGCACCGACGCACACCTTGCGCATCATCTGTTCTCGAGAGTGATCCGACGTTTCCGTCGGCGGTTCGTGATCCAGAACAGGCAAATCAGGGAGCATTGCCGGTTGCCGTCCAAATGGGGCATTGCATGGAGACACCTCACTATAAAAGGTGAATGCGTTGGCGGCAAACAAGGCATCATGCAGTAGTCGTGTAAATACATGAGGTATGTCTAACCTGTTGAGTTTAGCTTCCACGACATGAAGTAGATGGCGTAGCGTGCCATTTCTGGCTTCGATCGTCGTAGCGCGTTGTCCACGCGCGCGCATCCTTAACTCAGTGCGTTATTGCCTTAAGGACTGCTTTCGCAGTGTCGTTGTTGAGGGCGCCCTCTCCATCAAGGTAGAGTACCTTTGCAGGGCCAAACTGCATCCAGCACTGATGATACGCACCCTGGATACTGGTCATTGTCTTGTCCGGTATCTCCATTCCAGTGGCATAGCGAATACGATGATCGATGC